AGGTGCCGGAGGAAACTGGAGCCGTGGTGGAAGGTCTCCCCACAGTTGGTGCAAGCGAAGGGCTTCTCGCTGGCATGGGCACGCCAGTGGGCAAGGAGCTTCATGTGTCACCGGAAGCTCTTGCCACAGCCAGCACAGCGGTACGGCCTCTCGCCGGTGTGGGCACGGCGGTGCCGAAAGAGGGCGCAGCTGACACTGAAACTCTTTCGGCGGCCAGCACAGCGGTACGGCCTCTCGCCGGTGTGGGCACGGCGGTGCCGAAAGAGGTCGCAGCTGACACTGAAACTCTTGCCGCAGTCGGTGCAGGTGAAGAGCTTCCCACCTGCATGGACACGCCAGTGGGTGACAAGCTTCGAGATCCGCAGGAAGCTCTCACCGCAGTTTGCGCAGACATGCGGCTTCTTTCCAGGGTGGGCACAGCGGTGCTGCAGGAAGCGGGAGCTGTGGCAGAAGCTTTTGCCACAGTCGATGCAGGTGAAGGACTTCTTGCCATCATGGGCATGCCAGTGAGCAATGAGCTTCAGAATGTGATGGAAGCTCTTGTTGCAGCCGGCGCAAAGGGCAGGGCGCTGGGGTGGGAGCACCGGTGCTTCATGGGCTCTGAGCCAATTGGGAAGCTCTGCCCGCACTTGGGCACTGATTGTGACCCTTGTGTGTCACAGATCATCTTCCTCATCCTCGTCACTCACTTCCTCATCGTCCTCCTCATCATCATCATTATCATCATCACTGTCATCATCATCATCCTCCTCTTCCACTTCATTCTCCTCTTTCTCTTTGTCTTCATCCTGCTCTTCCTCTTTACCATCAAACTCCATGCCTGCCTCCTCCTCTACCTCAGGGCTGTGCTTCAGCTCCTTAAAGTTGTTCTCTGGGGAGGTTTTCTCCTTCGGGGTCTTGTCCTGGGGCTTGTGGGAGACCATGCTGGCAGTGGGGGTCAGCCCTTGGCCCGAGGGAGGGCCCTGGAGACGCTCAGCTGGGATCCGGGGTCTGCAGAGGGACAGAGAGACAGTGGCTGGGGGAGGGGCTCAGACAGCTACATGGCTCCAGTCAACAATGGAGGCAGCAGCTCTTGACCTAGTAAACTCCAAGGGCAAGATCCTGACGCTGCTGTGACAGCCCCCCAACACCTGA